ATGAGCTTCTTCGTGGGCCGTTTCGCGGGCTTGGGCCGGGCCGAATAAGGGCCGAATCAGGGCTTGGGCCTAGCCGAATAAGCCGTGCCACGGGCCTCCACGTGCTTGGGCCGCGGGCTAAGAAATTGAGGCCCAGCCCTAGTCCATTACACGTGCCGTGCCGGCACGGCTCGTAATAGTAACGAACCGGGCCGTGCTGAATCAGACACTATTACGGAATGGGCCGGGCCGTTCATGAACGGCCTGGCCCATTTGACACCTCTAATCCTACGTTGTCTGTATTAAAAAAAGGACAATAAATTAGAAAGGAAACTTCTTTCTTCTATTGCTACATCCTACTAAGATCATTATCCAAATACGTTAAATTCACCTTAAATATTTCTTCGTTTAGAGTTTTAATATAAATGTCAACCCTGAAGTATACGGCAAATTATTTAATCACTATAAATGATACGTATGTTTTTTCTTTCAATAATACAGTATAATGAGATATTGATACGAAAAAATTAACAAAATTATATGCCTATTTGCAATGAAGAAAAGTCTTTCAATGGATCAATCAATGAAGAAGTACAGAAAATTCCAATGAAATAGAAGTTAAAGAAGGGGCAATAATGACCTTTAAAATCCATAAAGAAAAAAAAGAATAATGACCTTTCCAAACATGAACCCGTTGACCATTTTAATAAAATATTTTGAAAATTGGCAGCTTGTAATTTGTTTTGCTCATTTGTATCGGCTCTTGAATCTCTCCAAGTCTTAAAGTACTATTTTTATTTGGTGAATAATCAATTGTCTTTCTTTCCATCAATCTCTTTCTTTATGACCTTGGGATATGTTTAACGCAACATTTTTTTAACTCAGATCATCGGTCAAATTTTAATATTTTAATTAGTGTTAAATTAATCAAATCATTTTACATCGTATAAAAATTTAAATTACTTTTTAATTAATTTTTGATGCTTATTATGAGAATGTATGGTATGATTTAAATACTAATTGAGACATTAAAAATTAAATAGAAAATTTGGATCTTATGATGTTTTTTGTTTAAGGCGATTCATTAGTTAAACATTTCTCCTTTCAATTTAATAGAAGTAAAACAATAGTCAAATAATAGGTACTGGCTCCTAAAACCAAGAAGATGCTATTACTTATAACATACTAATTACTAATTAAATGATTGAAATTTTCCTATGTCTTTGGTGAGCCTTTTTTTTTTTTTTTTTTTTTTCTTGGAAATGTTTTATGCAGTATTTAGCATACAGTTTCGTGCCCTTAAATTTACTTAAACTAATGCATTATAATAACAAACAAACCCAAGGAAAAAAGTTTTTGTTTAAACAAACTTTTAGTTGCTCATTAAATCAATTGGAATTGGTATTAGTTACACTTAATCCATATCCTCTATTATATTGCCACATAGCTTTTACAGATAGAAGTAACATGATGACTACTAGTAACAAGTCCTTGAGCAACTAAAAAAAGACAACGACAAATAGAACAATGATAAAAGTGGTTGTTCTCTTTGAGTTAAAGAAAACTTCTATTAGTAATGTCATCATGAAGCTAACTGAAAAATGAATATTTTTTTCTTTAGTTTTGGAAGATGCCTTGAGTAGTTATTAATCACAAATCATCATATTCCTCCCTCAAGGCATTTTCTATTTTGTCTTATGTAGTACTTCATGGTCTCCATTGCAATGATTCAAGATTGTTAATATATATATATATATATATATATATATATATATATATATTCTACGTTCTCTCAATGGGAGTTCAATGTAATATAGGTAGCTATGAAACATAACAACAGAGTCATTGAGCGTGACATTGACATTAAAAAGCTACAACACTAATATCAATTACAAGCCACCAATATTAGGGTTAAATATCAATATTATATAGGATATTCTTGATTTGTAAATTTCTACAAGCCACCAATATCAATTGCAGACTGTATATTATGACTAATCTTGATCATCCACATAGTGCTTCTTTTAATTGGTCTTTTTTTTTTTTTTTTTTTTTTTCTGGTTGAGGATCTATCTCCTAATAGCAAGCAATTCCTAGAGGGTGAACTATCAAGAATATTGTCCTCTTTCCTTTAGCATACATACAACAGTGTTGGATGTATTATTTTAGTGGGCCATACATATATAAGAAAAAATAAAAACACAGAGAATAAAAATGTTAACATGGTGTGACAATAAATTTCTATTCTAGACTAAAAAAAAAAAACCTTCTTATTTAGTATTGCTGAACAAAGTATAATTGTCCTCAATGAGTTTTTATGTTTAAAAATGTTGCAACAAAGTACAAAATTTAAGGGTAAAAAATTGAAGGACGAATTAGAAATATAGGAAAGCTAACTAATATAAATATGTAACAAGTAAACTAACAAGTAAAAGCTTTTTAGTGGGGAAAAAAGAAAAAAAAAAAAAGATAAACACCTAAGGGAAATTGAAATATATGTATACATTTTTTTTTTTTGGTAGGGGAGTAAATATGTGGTTGATGTACAACTAACATGCATGTTGAATAAATCAATACACAAGTATGTAGGGTCTTTGACACTTTAATTACCCTTGAACTGTTAATGAATTGACACGTTACCTCCTAAATTTTTGATTTGGCAAATCCCTGAATCACTAGGGTCCGTTTGGTTCCTAGATTCGCTCTTTGATTCGAATCATGATTCGTGATTCGCTATAGTATTTTCTCTCACAAAAAATACACGTAAATCGAAAATGATTCAAATCACATGATTTGAATCTATAAACCAAACGGAAATTTACTCCAGATTGTCGAATTTTGAAAAAAAAAAATGCCCCCATGCACATGAAATGGCAAGCTCTGTTAGAGTTCGAAATTTTAGTGATATCTGACTTCAAATGAGCTCATAACATGTATGAGGCTATTTTCGTTTAAATTTTGATTGTCATCATCGATTTAAACTATACCCTACTGTATTTCATCAAATAGGAATTTACAAGACAAGTTGTCAAATCGTAAACAGGTCAAGAGAAAAAAATGCTCGTTACCTTAAAACGTAGGGCAAATTAAGCTTAAAATGTATAAGCGTAGAGAATATTATTCAATTCCAAGTTACTAATGTGCCATTCTTATGCCAAGCATGGATTCGATTCTTAAAGTTTAAAACTCAAGGGGAATAGCTCGATGTTATGACTTGGATTATAGAGAAACCACGTACACTCGCTCCAGAAGTCATTCTCTTAAAATACACCCGTGTTACGTGCATTTTGCCCACATTCAACTTATTTGATAATTGATACATGAATATAATATATATGCATGTGTATATACATATGATATAATCATTGAAAATTCATATATATATATATATTTATATATATGATAAATTCTGTTGGAGATTCTTGAAAACATAGATTGATACACACGTTTAGTACTTTGCGAAGAAATCAAAAGCGTGTTAATGTGCCGTAGCCGACCCGCTGTCACGAAAGAAGAAAATGGTTTGTTGAAGAATACATGTGTTATGAGGCAATACAAACGGGACGTTTTCCTCAAATTTGCTAAAATTGAACATAAACATTAATTAATTAGGGGAAATGGGAAAGCAAGGTAAATATATGCCATTTATATCCTAATTTTTGGTTAGTGATCACTAGGGTATTAGTATAATGATGACAAGAATGAACAAATAGATTTTGAATGCTATATTTGTCACATCTCACTGATATCTCCACCATTTTTTTTGGTTATGTTACAAACTATTTAAAAATGCCATTAATTTTGAATAATATTTTGGTAATGACTTGTGGCCAAAAAAACTCTTTTTTTTTTTATTTTTTTTTTTAAGGAAAACCTATCTTTATTAATCAAGAGAAGCTAAATCAGCATGGACAAAAGGGCTAATAAACTTTAGGCATGAGCCAAACCAAATTATAGAGACTCAAGTATCATTGTTTTGAGTAATCTCTATTTTACAAACTCTTATAGCTCATTTAGTTCACGTATTTAAATTAGTAATTTTAATTATTAATTCATATTTTGTAAGAGAACCTATTGACATGGAACTTTTTTATATTCAAATTTATTGTGAGAGAACAGAATTAGAAGACGGGTTGACTTTGCGAAAGAGAGACTCAAGTCTAACTGTTTAGTGTTGAAATCAAAGCCCGTTTGGTTGGAGGATTCGTTCTTTGATTCGAATCACGGTTCATGATTCGTTACAGTATTTTCTCGCACAAAAAACACACGTAAATTAAAAATAATTCTAATCTCATAGTTCTAATTCATAAACCAAAAGGTATTACAGGGAAGAGATCAAAACACAGCTTCTCTTAAAGCCAAAAGTTTTTGAACAAAGTCAATATTAACGACCAAAATTTCCCAAAAGTTCCCACTTTCATTCACATTTGTTGCCATATAGACTTCATTATTAACAGAATTTGGAAAAAAATATAATAAAGGCATTAAGTCATCCATCCAATCAAGCTCAAGGTGGTGAGAACCCAAAGATGACGTAAATGGATAAAAACCCTAATTAGTGACATGATTGGGGGAAGAAAGAAAAGAAATTAATAAGCCACTCCATTTTCCTTCACCCAGAAGACTTAAAAATCTTTTGTTTTTTCCTCCCTTTTTGGTGAGTATATTTCTCTTTCAAAAGAATTTCATCAAAATCGTACAAAAGAAAGATAAAACATTAAAGACGCTCCACAAGACATGCTTTTGTATATGACTATACAGCAAACGAAGTTGTGTGGGCCGCAGTACTTGAGCCCTTAAGTAGTCCACAGTGTCCCCACCGTAGGATGATCTCTAGATCCTGAAGATATTAATATGAGAACCACTCTAGCGGTGGTGATCTAAGGAGAAGGAAAGATCTAGTGTAGGCCCCACCACAGAACAGAATACTAATATGTGAGGGAGAAATTCGGACCATAGGAAGACAATAAAGAAAGAGAAAAACATGGAGAAAGCAAAGTAAAGAAGAGAGAGGAGAGAGAGAGAGGTGAGAGAGAGAGTCTTTTTTTATTTTTTTATTATTATTTTATTTTGAAATTCAACTGCTCCAATTTCTCCAATCCCTTTGCACCAAATCCCACGAATTTAAAAGCCCATCTCTGTTTTTCTCCTCTCTCCAATACCCAGATCTTCATTTCCTCAGAATTTTATAAAACTCTCATTTTTTTCATCAAATTCTTGAACTTCCCCTGTTTCTTCTTCTTATTCTTTTTCATGGCGTTCTGTTTCTGTATATTACTTAAACCAGGTATTCTCACGGCTTCTCATTAATCCCTCTCTCTCTCTCTCTCTCTCTCTAATCGTTGAAACAAAGCCTTTTCCAGTTAGGATTTACCATTTTTTTTTCCCATAAAAAACTCAACAATTTTCAAACAATTCCATTTTCTTCTCGTTTCTCTTTAATCAAACACTTTGAAGGAAGGAAACGCGTTTTTCAATCCGAATACTCTTCCCTTTTCTCCCAGAATTTTCCCTGGAAAGTTCATTTCTCCAGGGAATAACAAAAAAAATCTTCAAACAACCCCATTTCTTTATCCAAACTCTCCAGTACATATTCTCATTTCTATCCAATCGAACTTTCTGGCATTCCTTTGTTTTTCTTTTTTCCTTCCTTTTTCTCTCACAATTTTCCCTGGAAAGTTACAATTTCGATTTCCCTCCATGGGAATTCAGAGAGACAGGGTGAAATTCAACGTTGGAGGCAGAATCTTCGAGACAACATCCACAACCCTCGCCAACGCAGGCCGTAACTCCATGTTCGGCGCCATGTTCGACGGCGACTGGAACTTCCAATCCGAAACCGAAAACTCCGGCGGAACCGGAACCGAATACTTCATCGACCGGAACCCGGATTGCTTCTCCGTCCTCCTCGATCTCCTCCGAACGCAGGAGCTCCATCTCCCCCCCAACATCCCGGAGAAGCTCCTCTACCGGGAGGCCTCATTCTACGGGCTATTGGACCACGTCCGGTCCGCGAAATGGGGGCAATTCAACGGCAACAGGCTGCGGTTATCCCGCTCGGTAGCGGGGCAGGCCCCCGGCGACGGCACCGCCATAAGGGCGGGCCCCGACGGCGGCTGCTGCGTGGCACACGGCAGCATGGTCCATGTCTATGATTGGATGCTAGAGGAGCACCCACCAATTAGCCTTGATTTCCAAAGGGTCAACGATGTTGGTTGGGTTGACTCTGAGAATGTTGTGATCAGTGTTTGTGAGAGGCTTGGGAGAGGAAATGGTGGAATGGGGTTGTTTAGTTCATCAAGTGGTGAACTTAGACATAGATTTCAAGTCAATCATGATAATCAGATTAAAAGTTTCACTGCCGGGGCTTTGAGTTTTAGCCAAGATTACAAGATTTTCTCAAGCTGTAGAGGGAGAAGTAATGAATATGGAATTGGGGTTTGGGACCAAGTCAGTGGAAAGCAAGTTGATTTCTTTTATGAACCACCAGGTTGGTCACTTGGTGATGCTGACAAGCTTCAATGGCTGAATGGAAACAATTGTTTGTTGGTTGCCACTTTGTTTCCTAGAAAGGATAATTGTTACATTAGTTTGGTTGATTTTAGAGAGAGAAAGATGGTTTGGAATTGGTCCGATATCAGTGCCGCCATAACTGTGGATGAGAAGAGGGTGAGGGATGCCATAGCAATGGAGGAGAGCAATTCAGTTTGTGTGGTGAATGAGTTTGAGGATTTGGGGTTCATTGACTTGAGGGTTAATGGTGGGAGTGTGAGGTGGAGCTCAAGAAGTAGGCTCATGAAGGGGAAAATGCCTGATGAGCCTTGTTATCCCAAGTTAGCTTTGCATGAAGGGCAATTGTTCTCTTCCATGAATGATTGTATATCAGTTTTTTGTGCACCTGATTGGGTCTTGACCTCTAGGCTTAGGAGAAGCTATGGAGGTTCTATTTGTGATTTCTCCATTGGTGGGGATAGGCTTTTTGCTCTTCATAGTGAGGAGAATGTGTTTGATATTTGGGAAACTCCACCTCCACCCATCATATGATTTGATCTCTTTTTTTTTTTTTTTTTTTTTTTTTTTTTTTTTTTTTTTTTTTTTGGTCTTGACATACATTGTTGTGCCATATTCTTTTTGGTCATGTAAGTTGGGAGTAATACCATATGTAGGTTAGAAAAGCTTAGAGATGTATACTTACTCCAGAGCTCTTATGAGCTTTGATATATAGGGTTTGGTCAATAACAAAAACAGAAATGAAAGTGATGGCTTAACTATAATATAGCTTTGGTGAGGCATCTACAATTTCAGGTGTATTTATTAACGAGATGTGACATTGTTAAAAGAGAAATGAAATTGATCGCTTTAAGTTCAAACAATGATACCTTGAAATTCCGGCATCCTCCTCAAGCGTCCTTTTTCTTTCACCATGTAGGACATTTTTTTTTCAAACTATTTGCTTGCACCATGCATGCTATTTATCATATGTAAAATGATGGACACATCAATATGAACCGGTAGAATTTGAGTTAGTTTAAATTTAACAGTTCAGAATTTTATGGACCATCATTCTACGTTTAAAAAAGCGTTGCACGGTGCGATCCAATATGGACGTCTCTCTTTTTTTTTTTTTCAGACAGAACCCTATTCACTTCTTTTGACCTCGGCTTTCCCAAAAGCTAATCTCTCTCCCTATTTCCTTCTAATATGTTTGTGTTAGAGAGAGATTCTCTTTGCATGTGAGCAGTTGCAACAACTAACTTGCTGAGAGATATTACGATTCAAATCACTTTACATAAAGTTGTAATTCGCTGGCTCTTTGCAGCCTTATAGTTTCAGATGACCTGATTTTACACGTCTCAAATATCAGTGATGTTTATGACCTTTTTACTCGTGCAACGAATATGCTCATAATCATACCCATGTAAGGTCTCAAAACTGAATTTCATGAAACCTTAGACCAGCTAAAGTTTGCTTTAACTTTTTGCCCAAGACTAGCTGCAAATTGTATCCAACAAGATTTCCTCTCATAGCCCTTTTTAAGTCTTTTAATTTGATGAAACAGGTCTGGAAATGAATAAAATTTGTGACGAGTGAAGAAAACAAACAAATTTAACAAGAACCCCAAAAAGGGAATATAATATTGATTTGATCTCTATCGTAATTTGTACGGATTTTGTGATAAATAGATTGTCTAATGTTACACTTTTCCAACTTCAGTCTTCATAAAATAAACGTCATGTTTACCCTGCTTCTACGTGTCAGTGCATACGACAATCCAATATATGTATATGTATATATATAAAAGAGTATATGTATATATATAAAAGAGAAAATGCCATGATAAAGGGCAATCATGTCAGCTCCTCACAATAGTGACAGTAGTTCCGACAAATCATACATTTTTCTTGGTTTAGTTTAACTTATAACGTCAGTTAGTTCCAAACCCATCTGGGCAAAATCTGAGATGTAAAGAGGGTTTATGAATAAAATATGGCAAAAACTGAAAACAAGGAGGTTCTGATCGCCCAATGAGAATCTCCAGGCCAGGATTACTTTTTTATTAATAAACAAACCATCTTTTTACCTTCTAACAATCATGATTCTGGAACTAAAATTATAATTCCTGATTTTAAATTCAAATCATGAATCATAAATTAGGAGTTTGAATCGCCTTCAATCAAGAGTAAAGTAGTTTTAGAATCATGAGTGATTTTAGTTTAAAACATCACATTAGATTCTGAATTATGATTCAGAATCACCCAAATCAAACAATGATTTTGAATCATGGTTCAGAATCACTGTAAACAAACTGATTCTGAACCATGATCCATAATTATGATTCTGAATCTATTTACAAACGCCCACCAAAGGGTTCATTCCTATATAATCCAAAACACCAAAACGTCATATTGCTCTTTGCATCTATGTAATGAACCCATTTTAGTGAGCTTCCAAGAAGGTTCCTTTCCTTGAAATATTTGATTATTTTCTCAAATCAATCAAATATCTTTACAAAGAAAGAGTACAATCCAATGAAGAACTTGTAAAAGAATAATGGGATTTCATTAGAATACCTATCTTGACCCAAGAAAGATGAGGATAAATAAGATAAAGAGATAAGAAAGAACCAAAAAGGGCTTGTGAACCCCACCACAAGGCACACAAGAGAGGAGAGTCCAAATTCTCAAGCATAATCAGGCATCACCTTTTTGAGGAAGCCAATGGGCTGAGACTCTTCAGGGGCAAGTTGGTCAAAAGCAACGTAATTGTTTTCCTCGTCATACACATGGCACATTGTCATTATTGTCTTCATTAAACGCCAATTCCACATAGCCTCATTCAAATACTGTGATTAGAAGGGCAAAAAGGACAAGAATTAAATCAAATGAGTCATTAATCATGAGTACTCATCTTAAAGGGCCTTTGGTTCATGGATTCAAGTAAGTGATTTTGATTCTAAATTCAAATTCTGTGAAAAAACCCATTGGCGGGAATTTTTTTAATCATCTTTTTTATATGTTCATAGCAATAATCACATAAAATTAATGGACATATTTATTAAGTTCCCAATGCTAAGAAAAGAATCTAGTTTCATGATGTACTCAACTTAAATCTGCTTTAATATCGATAACTACATTATAGACATATTTATGTTTTCCCAATGCAAAGACCAAAAAAAAAAAAATGTAGTTCATTTCCATGTGCTGTGGACCACATACAAATAGGCTTTCTCAAATGCCACATTTTATAGCGTATTTTGCATAATGGTACAAATTTTGGACGCATTTGTTAAAATGTTCTTAACATTTTGATTCATGTCTGTTTACCAGTGAATAATTGATTTACCAAGGAAAATCACCAATGCAATCTTCACAGAAATCTTAATTAATTATGTAAATACGGCCATAAATTAAACAGAAAAATTCAGTCATTTTTTTGGGAGGGGAAAAGAAGCGTTCAAGACAGAAATTCATCACAATTTCCCTTCCAGTAGCATAATATTTGGAAAAGATGAACAAAAATGTACCTTTCCCCAAGTTTTTTGGATGGATTTGTGAGCTGCGCGTAAGTTATAACTCGGAATCCTTGGAGATATATGGTGGGGGATGTGGACATTGATGTCATGGCATAGGATCTCAATCCTGTCCAAAAGAAAATAGATCAACAAACACTGACATGTTACAAGCAGATGATTGTAGAAGGAAACAACAAAAGAAAAAATATAGACACTATTAGGCTGCATCAAAATGAACAAAATAGGATTAATGAAAACCATGAGTTAAACGAAAGAGCTAAACAATAACAAAAATTGGGGCACGAACAAACAGTACCAACAAGGGTAGTCGCAGTGAACTGTTCCGTTAAGTTGTGCCTGAGCCGCATTCCACTCGTCCGAGTTTTTAAAAGGTATATGAGGAGCCGTATGATGGACCATTGTGAAGGTACTCATCTTCAAAGTCAAGTAGAAGAATTTTTAGACAGGGATATTGAAGATTTCTAACTTGAACAAAGATTATCTAATCAAAGAAATAATCAACAGATCGTCGAGTCAAAGTATTTTGCATGAACAATTGTAAGACGCCAGTTAATGGTAGAATAATCAGGCAAGAAAAACAACATTATAAGCAGATAACATGCTTAGAGTAACAACAAAAGTAAAAATCTGAAACAATTGCAAATTTGTAACGTAGCAATATGAATTCGCAAGAGAGGAAAAATGTGTTCTGCAGATTATATCCAGGGGAACATAAATATTCAGAAGATACGTGCCGTGAAGAAATGCATTATGCATTGTGCAGATGATACTCAACAGGGGTATTTGCATAAATAGCCAAATATTTTCTAATATGTTTTCCAAAAAAATATTCGTATTTGTTTTTCCCCTGATTATGTCTACCAGTAACTCATTGATTTACTGATGGTAAATTATTTACTCAACTAAATCGCCAAATTCTTCTCAATAAATCATTGGTTTGAGTTGAATAAATCATTGATTTACCTTACAAAAAAGGACATGAAACTAAGGGGAAAAAAATTTATTGATATATTTTTAAAAAAAGCATCCGAAACGGACATTCATCACAATTTTCCAATAATTAATTGGCAAGTCAATGACGTAGAACAAATGTTGGTGCCGTGATATGTTAACCTTTTATTAAGCTACTGAAGAACAGAATTATATCTACAGAGATTTCCCAAACCCACTCCCCCCAAGCCGCCCCCCTCGATGGGTTTTCTTCAAAACAACATGTTTTAACACTGCAAGAATCAAATAAGTAGAAGCCGCTAGGAAGTAGCATTACCCAAAAGTGATAGCCCAGCCACGGCATCAACCAGAACTTGATCCATCCAATAATCCCCGTCTTGTAGATAATCAACGGCCATCCGATGAACATGAAAGCAAACACACAAGCCAAACTTATCTTCACCCTGTTTACTTCGTTTGGTCTGAACTTCTTCAAGTCAAAGTGCAAGATCAACCTATTAGGAAGCAAAATATTGAAAAACACATGTACTGATTGTAAATCCAATGTTTACTCCAGTGACATATAGGCCAGCAAAATTAGATATAGGTAGTATACCAATGAGCTATCGACATCCAAGGCCGAAATGGGCCATATCCAAATATAATGGCCTTGCGCAAAGCACGAGATGAATTGAATTCTTCTTCCCAAACAGGATGCCAAGCAGTATCCTCAAAAAGCCTGAAGATTTACACAATTAAGTAGTTTAACACCAAAAAACGCAAGAAAAAAAAATGCCTCAAGTCATTCATGGAGACATGAGTCAAAAGTTTGAGATAAGATTTAGCACAAACTAGCATGGAAACAGAGAATAAAGGAACAAGGTTCTGTCATAGTATTAAAAAAAAAAAAAAGAAAAAAGAAAAAAGATAGACTTGCAAAATTAATATAATATACAGCATTACGAAAGAAAACAGTTCAAACACAATTTACATGTAGTTTTGACAAGTTTTCTTATACCAACTTATATGTAGAAGATATTGCAAAATCTTACTCACAGTTAGTCAAAATTGTAGACATGCTTATGAAGAGAAAATATTCCACCATAAAATGACTTGCGAAGATGATACACAAGGCAGGGGAAAAATAGAACAAACAATAACAACTAGTTAGATTACAAAGAAAATAATAAGGAAAGTCACAGACATGTTTGTTTTTGCATGATGCCGGTCGTGCTTGAACCGCCATGGTTCATATGGGTATATCAGCGGCAAAAAGGCCAGCGTTCCAACAATGTCTTCAACTAATTTGTTTCTTGAAAATGATTTGTGTGCGCAATCATGACCTATAACAAAGAACTAAAAAAGTGGGGAAATATAAAGAAGTTGGCTTGGATGCATATCTGGTATAAAAACAAAAGGAATAAACAAAGAGATGGAATTCTCTTTAATAGCAATAAAATACAAAGGAATAAGTGAAGAACGAACCCCAGTAACCGCAGTCCCTGTCCACGCCCAAGCCAGAGGAAGTAGATACCATGGGGCTTTTGATATCATGTAGAGCCCCAACGCATAAGAAGTAACGGATATTAGAACCGACTTCCAAGATTTTACATCATCAATCTCAAACACCTGAAGGTAGAAAAAAATGAAGAGAAAACAAAAGGAATTAAAAACATATCTCTATGTTTTATTCTAAAGTTCAAAACCATTTAGGATACTATTTCTTGCTGAGTTAAGAAATTCCTGGTAAATTATAGTGTACTTGAATAGAAGTAAACAGTATTGCTAATGAACAGACCAATGATAGGACCAATTCTAACACTGTTACATTCAAAGAGATAATTTTTACAAAAAGCTATATAGAGTTAAGTTGAAACAATAGCCCGCCTTTTGTAATCGAGAATAAGTACCTCTTTTGGAAGACTTTCGATGACATCCCTTAATGTAACATTGTCGGGAAGTGGTTCTCCAATCTGTTTGAAACCATAAGTTTCAGCTAATTGTTCTCTGTACTCGGCAGTATCTAGCGGAAATGGTGAAACTGGAACAGCCACAGCTTGTACAAATCTAGTCCTTCTATTGGCCTTTAAAAATCGCCGGCGTTTTACTCCCTTTTGAAGAATGTCGTCCCATTTCAAAGAAGAGATGCCTGCCCATCACAAGAATGTGTTACACATTGCCAATGATATTCAGAAAATGAGGCTATAAGGCCAGAAGCAAGGTTTACACAAACCAAACTATCGATTAGGGGTGGTTGCGGATTGGTTTGGGCAATTTATAGTCTAAAATTACAAACCAAACGAAATGAAACACATTTCATGATTTGTTTCAATTTGGGCTTCCCTATTTGAGCATCTAACTTTGTGCTGCTTAAAGTTCCATTTTTTTTTTTCATATAATCTCATAGAAAAATTAAAACAAAAATCATACCAAAATAAAGAAAATTAAAGTTTTGGTTTAGTTTTGATTTCTGTAGTTTGACAAATGCAGTAGCTGCAAACGAATTCAAAATTGTGGTTTGTGCAAAATTCAAAATAGCAAACTAAAGTGCTAAACTAGACTAATTCTAAGAACAAACTAAAACCAAATCGCACGACTTTGTTTGTTCTGGGCGATTTAATCCGTTTGGCAGTTTGATTACTACCAATGCAAGACTTTACATAATTATTGACCACACCAACTTCGTAATCTTGTACGTACTCTAACTTAGATTTTCTGTCAAACACCATCATAGAACCCCCTTTTGAAAATTGAAATCAAAAGTTTGATGCTTTATTTGAAATAACTATTATCCTTAAAATCACTAAACCGAATTCTGCTTTAAAATCACTAAACCGAATTCTGCTTTAAAAGAGGAATGCAGCTACAAGCTAAGTGTTTGTGAGCAACTTCAACTACTCTATACAAACAAAAGAAGTTAATTACCAATTACCCATTTGGCTACATAACACCATTAAAATCCAAAGACAACCAAAAATCAAAACTTTCAAGAAATAAAAACGGCAACAGAGAGAGAGAGAGGGGTACCTAGCGAAAAATGAGCTGCAAGCCTCTGAATTCGAACTGGGTTTTGATGGGGTCCCTGAAAAAATTCAAACCAAACAACAAATTTTCAACAACCCAAAAAAATAAAAAATAAAAAAAAATAAAAACTTTGGAGTGTCTGAATTATGGAAAGAGAACCGTGAAAAGGAAGACAGAATCTGCAAGTCTGCAAGCCATGATGAGCAGGAAAATTCCAGTTCAGAAGAACCTCAAACCAAACCAGAAGCTAGTCCTCTTGAAGTTCTGGAGGATAAGCTTCCTCTGAGCGGACAAGAGAAGAAGAAAAGGGGGTCAGAGAAAGGCCTCCAAGTCTGCTTTTATACGAGACATTTTTTTTTTTTTGTCAAATGCCTTGGTTTGGTCCTATTTCGTCCCCCTCGGCCGCTGTAGGAATAGTGTGGCTGAATTTCATTGTGCCATCACCACCATTTGTTATTTGTTTTCCTCTCTTGTTTAATTGTCAGCCTCAAACTAGTTTGTAATTTAAATTTAAAGAAAACAGAAAAAAAGAAAAAAACTCACAATAATAATAATAATAATAAATAAATAGAACTTTAAATTTTACCTTTGCTTTTAATTAATATAACTATTTAACTAAAAATAATTAAAAATAAAGAATAAAAATCAAAACCAATATATTTCAAGATATTTATCAATTTTTCTCTAATAATAATAATAATAATAATAATAATAATATATGTCTTTATAATTTGTAGAGTAAATTGCACACGACTAGGACTATGATGACTTTGGCGCATCGTTGCCCATGAAAATAAAGTTTAGGAACGTAGTACCTTTTGTTTTGGGTTTTATAGGGGCTGTTCGGCAGACTATTTTTCGAGTTAAAAATTTAAAAAAAATAATTTGAGTTATAATTTTATTTAAGTTCATATTATTTTAAGTTTGAATTCGAGTTTGAATTCGAGTTTAAACTCGAGTTTGAGACTAAAACTCGAGTTCAAGTTCCTTCAACTCGAGTTCAAGTTCCTTCAACTCGAGTTCAGAAACTTGAACTCAAATTAATAAATAGTATTTTTTTATTCTAAAAAATGTTATAAATTTTTCGTTTTAATTCTGATTGAGATGATTTTTTTCTATATATTGACAACGAAAAGACGAATAAAATCTCATCCATATACCCTATTAAAATTTTTTATCAGCATTGAGTTTTTATTAAAATATTATCTAAATACAAATTCAAGTTTTGACTCACTCAAACACAAACTCAAAAAGATTCTTATCTCAAACCATAACTCAAATGGACACAACCAAACACAAACTCAAGTTACAACTTCAACTCAAGTTATAACTCAAACTCAACTCAAAATCTACATTTAAGTCACCTAACTCAAAAATAGCAAAATAACAGCCCCATAGTAACGTACCGAAAGCAGAAAAATAGAGAGTGCGTTTGAAATTCGTTCTAAAATGATTTTATTTTTTGTATGAAAATGAAAACGAAAATGTTTTTATTTTCATTTTGGAATCATTTCTAAAAATGCGAGTGAAATAGAACATGAAACCGTAAGCTCCCAAGCAGTGGGAGGAGCCCGGGGCTCTGACCGCGTGCCTGTTGAAGAATGAGCCGGCGACTCATAGGCAGTGGCTTGGTTAAGGGAACCCACCGGAGCCATAGCAAAAGCGAGTCTTCATAGGGCAATTGTCACTGCTTATGGACCCGAACTTGGGTGATCTATCCATGACCAGGATGAAGCTTGGGTGAAACTAAGTGGAGGTCCGAACCGAAGTGGATCCCACTCTAATAGCTCCGAATAAATTAAATACATGCATTAAGATACGAAGGCTTCTTATTCCACAACAATGAAAGCACTTTTTCACTCTTTCATATACTAGGGGATTTCACTTGGAAAAGAAAATGTTCCATACTAATGGAAAAAGATTGGTCCAGGGCAAAGAAAATGAAAATGAAAAACTGAAAACGACTCAGAGTCGTTTTCAGTTTTGCTCACTTTTTGCATACAAATAATGAAAAACGTTTTCATTTTCTGTTTTTCAAAAAATGCATGCCAAACGCCTTCGCCAGAGCATTTTCATTTTTTTGTTCTTGAAAAACGTGAAAAACATTTTTGAAAACAGAACCAAACAGGCACAGAGTTTTTGTATCTCTAGAGGAGTGATGTACTAATAATGATGTTTTTTTTCCTCCTCCTTTTTAGGATGCACTAAATTTTTTTTTTTTTTTCTAATTGAAAAGGGATCGTCATTATTCTCACGTCCTCACTCAGCACCCTATTAAAGAATCAATTGGTCTCATAAGTGTAATAGTCAAAATCCTAATTCTGGACTCTTCTCTTTTACAAATTAAAAACTCGTTCATTTCACCGATTTGAGTTTTCAATTTTAGGTTTTCTACAGTTAAAAATTCTCAGAAAATATCACATCTAACTTTTTTTGTTATAGTTAAAAACTCTCAAAAAATGTTACATCTTAGCTCGAATTGAAAATTCGAATTTGCGAAACGAACGAGGCCTAAGTTTCACCTATCCACCACTATTCCTTTACACCCACCACTATTCCTTTACACCCACCACATGCATGTGTTTCTATTTTTAAAGCAAAGACTTGGATGCGAGGAGGTAGGTATTTGAATCCTGGTCTGTGAATGAGAGAGCGCCAAGAGAAAGCATCCTTGTCACTATGCCACCAGCACCATTGTTAGGATGCACTCAAATTTGATAAGCCCTACATAACATAAACTAAATGAGGAAAGAGGCTTCAGTGTATAAACAAGACCTCAACATTTAGGGAAAATGAGACAAATACTCTCTTAGAGTGCATGAGTCTAGATTTTTACCCATTACTCTTGATTAATATCTTTTTAGTCAAATAACTATATTAGTTAAAGGATGATGAAGAGGTTGGGAATCGGATGTCGTTTCTGCTGGTTAGTAATAAACTATGACTCAAAAACTTCGCTTTCTTTTGTAGTTTGAGGTAGCTCCTGTGGTTTGGTTCGGCCTTCACGTGGAGTGAGACAGGGATGCTGTGACGCCTCAACCCCTCATGGGGTCCACCTAGCGGGACCCACAGTATAGTCAGGTCTTACTCTCCTTACTTACGTACTGTCCTCTATGGGCACCTAGTGGCCCTTAGGATTTCTTTGTGTCTCCCAACACTTGAACCCAAGACTTTCATCCTTATAAGGTTCTTAAGTCAAGTGTTGATACCGGGTGTTCCGTGATTATGCGATAAATTTGTCATTGTATTTATCGATGATATCCTCGTACACTCAAAGAATCAGGAGAAACACACCGAACACTTGAGAATGGTACTAAGGGCTATGAAGAACCATAAGGTGTATGTTAAGTTTTCTAAGTGTGAATTTTAGCTTGATGAAGTAGCCTTCTTGGCTCATGTGATGTCAAATGACGTAGTAATGATAGAATCCACTAAAGTTGAGGCTATTCTAAATTGGAAGCAACATAAGAACGCAAGTGAGAGAAGGAATTTCTTGAGTTTGGCCGGCTACTATCGAAAGTTTGTTGAAGATTTTTTTAAGATAGCCTTACTGCTCACCGACTTGACACGCAAAGGGAAAAAGTTTTTGTAGAGATTTTATTTGCTTTTAATAATAACACAATAATAAAACTTAACACACAGATTACTCCCCACGTACATTTATAGCACGAGGAGTTTAACTAGTATTCATAGAAAATCTGTTAAGTTCATAATTATTTAGTTGTCTTCTTCGTTCGTTTCTTTACATTCTCTAACAATCTACCCAAGATGGCGTGGAAGAATAGTACTCAATAATAGCCAAAAAGAAGGCTAAAATTATTTATTTTATTGTTTTAAAAATATTATTGTTTAGCATAAAAAAATATTATTGTTTGGAAGACTAAACAATGAATGTGAGAGTGGAGATCTTTCTTCTTCTTTAACAAAAGAATTTAAATGTTCAAAATATTAATTATTTTCATAATTAAAGAAGTATTATTCTTAATATTTTACGTTTATTTAATGGGACCCACCTAATTAGAAAGCTTATAATATTCTTTATAACCTCATGTGGAAAGTTGAAAAAACAATTCTCTTGTAGCAACATCTTTTTGACCATCGAACTTTGATCAACGGCTTAAATGTACTCCATTCGTGGGGCAAAAAAAAGCCCTTCTTACCATAAAGGATCCCAAATGTATCTTAATTCAACCAATAAATATATATTTGTATCTAGAATTTGAGATATCGTGGAGAATCCAACTGTAACCCATTAATTAGTAGAATTCACCCTATGAAATATCTTCACACCTCTCCATTAGAAGTTAGATTTTAAACTTGGGTTACAAGGAAATGAGATAAATATATCTTAAAATATATAGTCTGAATTTTTATTTGTTATTTTTTTAATTAATTTTTTTAGTCTAATAATTATATTAATTAAAATTGTATTAATTAAGAATAAGAAGTAAGTAAGGAGTATAAATTTAGACCCATACACTCTACGGGTAACAATATTATCTGGGTTATGTGATGAAAAATCTTCTATAGATTGTGCAACTAGATGTGTTTGGGTAAGTATAAACAAACATAAAGAAAAATATGATACAATGCGTAACTGGATAGCTGCACATTGATTGATTAATTGGTTATATCCGTAACTAGACGACATACACTTAGGGCCCACTTAGTTCGTTGATTCGGGTTTTTAATTCAAGTTAAGATGTGACTTTTTGTGAGAGCTTTTTAATATAGCAAAAAAGTTAGATATGACTGTTTTTGAGAACTTTTTACTATAGCAAAACTCGAATCGGTGAATTTTGAGAGCTGCATTTAAGATTCCAATTTCAAACTTATTTCTCTATTTTATTGTTTCCCTTTTAAATAACATTAATTTCTAATTTTAGAATAGAATTAGTTTCTTTTATTTTTATTTCTAAAATTAGATAGGTAGATTTGTCAATTTTGTTATGGTCGAGTTCAATTATTATTAATAAAATTTTGAGTTTATTCTCTCCCTTTCCTAATTATCTTTATATTTTGTTAAATTAATGAGTGATTGTTATCTATTCTCCTGACATTCGTAAGCAAATCAACAAGCATATAGAAATTCTATTTCCAATGTTTTCATAGAATCAATGGTTTGAGTGAATCAACAAATTTATCCCCATTTTTCTTATTTTGTTTACGTTTCCTCGACATGAGCATGACAATGATATTAAGTAAAATAAGGCAATTCATACATGATATAACATGTGTTGCTCGAATATCTCATGTGATTAAGTGCCTATCTAATCTTATCTAAGATATTACACGTGATGCATGCAAATGATCAAATTCATATTCCAAGTACTTTAATTAGAACTTCATCTACTTGCCCTTTTTTTTTTTAAA